CGCCTCTATGTTTTTAAATTAGTTTCTTTTACAAAAATACACTTCAAATCTAAAATATTTTAGGAAAACACTGAACTTAAAAGCCTTTTCACGATTTTTCACGTTTCATCGGCTGCAGTACTTAAAGACACTACTCACATCAATAAAAATTGTTATTTTAAGTTTTTACCTTATTTTCTAACTCAGGCTTAAACCACAACTTCTTACATCTAATATTTTTAACAGTACAAATTGTTTTAATGTAACAAACCTATAGCCCTCTCCTATCCCTGTAAGCCAGGATCTCTTTTTTATAGAAGAGGGGACAAACGAGCATGCGGCTCACCTGATGGTTAGTGACTACCGCCGCCCATGAACAACCGCAACACCAGGGGAATTGCAGATGCGTTGCCGGCCTTTTAGAAAGGTGTGAGCTCTTTTCTTGAAGGTCCCTAAGTCGTATCGGTCCGGAAAAATCGCCGGTGGTAAACAATTCCACAGAGAATTTGTACGAGGAAGAAACTCCTAGTAAAACGCACAGTTGTGGATCGCCAAACATACAGATGGTGAGGATGGTTTCGTGAATTTTGACGTGATGTGCGTTCGTGAAGTTTGGCAGCTGGAATTAATCCGAACAATTCCTCAGAGCTCTCCCCGTGACAAATTCGATAGAAAATGCAACATCCCTACGCAGTGCCAGTGTATCGAGCCGATCAGAAAGAACTCGGTCGTCGACGATTCGAACCGCTCTGCGCTAGATGCGGCCAAGTGGAAGGAGCTGGCACTGGGGTGCCCCGGCCCAGAGATGAGAACAGTATTCCATGTGAGGCCGAATTTATCTATCTATAATGGCTTTGTCCTTGAAAACCACAAGACAATGAAGCTTGGTGTAAAACCACCAGACAATGAAGCCTGGTATGTAAAAGAGAAGACTTGTTGTATTGCTAAACATCAACACAGCAAGTATCCTCAGCATGCTCATAAGCATCACAGAAAATCTCATCAGGAGTCTAAAAAAAATTTTCCACCCTTGCTCCACATAAAGTAGGCTACTTAGCATAGTTGGTATATGTTACTCATTTTTGTTGGTATGGGTACAGTATGGGGACTCCTTAAATATTGTAAAGGATTAAATCGGCATCCTGTATATTTTTTTATCGATAACCACAATCTATAAACGTCGTCAGTCACTAACTTTAACATTGGTAACTAAATAGCGACGTTACTGGATGACAGAGGGTGCTTATTACAATAAAAATAAATTTTCTAGAACAATCTACTAGAAATAATAAAATTTAAAGATTATTCGGTAAATATATGTTATACTTAGGATAATAAACCGAAATCACGTTTATTTTTTGTTCCATGTTGTGACTCACAATATTTTAATGCACAACCGGGCATATTTTCTTAAAAAATTCATTTTCTTGCCCTAATACCCTTTCAGAAATGTCCTGTCTCCTTCGAATGTCGCACGCTTACTGTGTGTTCGACAAAATATGCTTAAAAGTAAATTGTATGCAGGCGGCGACGTGCAGCTGGCGGAGCTGCAGCACGCGCTGGCGGCGTCGTGCCGCGCCACGCCGCGCCTGCGCCACGCCTGGCTGGCCACGCTCGCCGACCACCACGCGCGCCACCACCACCACGACGAGGTCACCACCACCCCGTCGCCCCATCTCACCTCACCACCACGCTTTACAAACTTTCCAGCACCGTCATCCTTTACTTATACGTGGTACAGCCACGCTGCAGCTAATATTAGTGGTAGCAAATTCGGTCGGCTCGACTGGGGTAAGACCATGCTCTTACAGATTACCAGCGTAAAATAGCAGCTCAGTGCTGCTGTGTTTCGTATGGTGAGTGTAGAGAACCGGAGACCCTTTTCTGTATCAAATAGCAGAACAGCAAAATAACAACATTGCCCACTCCCACAAAAAATAAAAAAAAGGAAAATAAAACCGGAGAACTTTTTTACTGGAAACGGGACATTCCATCTTAGTTCTCAGGGCTGACAACGCATCTGCATTTTGGTTATTAATCGAGGATAAATGTAGATGTATCTATGGGATCCACTTACCATCAGGTTGAGTGTGTGCTCTTTTGTCGACCTTGTTCTATAAAAAAAAATCCTTACTATTACGGCCCGTCACATATCCACTGCCTGAACATAGCATAAGCTTGGACTTGCATACTTGTTTATGATAAAATAATACATTCACTTTTTATGTGAAAATGGCTTCTTATAAGTATAGGTCTAATAGGTAGCTAGGAGTTTTGCATATTCCCTTTTGTACCCAAAATTAATTACCCTGCCTTGCTACCCGTACGGATAAAGAATGGAATTAGAAATGGCGATTCATCGAGTTCGTACTGCCAGCCTTCACAATACCTAAAGCGACAAACAACTGCGTTAAGTACATAGTAATCTAGCGGTCTTTAAACTAGGTAAGACATCATTTTATTTTATTACGAAAATCTTAGCAAGTTAAATTTTAACAACTTTAAGGACGCGTTTACAAAATGGATAGGTATAGAATCGAACCATTACATTGACACGGGTCACACACACAAGTGTACGCACGGTTAGCTGCGGGAATCGCAATCAAGTATAAACATTTTGATAATTTGAAAGATTGTTTTTTTTTTTCATATTTCTTATACCTACAAAAATATACTTAGATACGAAATATAAATGGCTGCTCCAGAGACAGCTAGGTGAAGCCCTCTACAGGGAGTGAGATGGTAGCTGTAGAGTTTGGACTGGTTTTGTTAGTTATGATAACTTCAGCTCCGAACTTGGTGAAGTGACTTGAAGGTATACTTAGGTGACTGCTACTGGAAGTCCGGGACGAGTAGTACCATGTGTGCCGAGTTTGGGCTCATTATGTTAGTTATGATGAGACCTTACCTCCGGACTTGATGAAATGACCTGAAGCTGTACTTCGGTAACTGCTAGTGGAACTCCTGGACGAGTAGAACTAGGTATGCGAAGTTTGGGCTCGTTTTGTTAGTTACTCGTCGAGGAGTTCTAGTAGCATTCACCGTATACTTTCAGATCACTCCATAAAGTCCAAGACGAATGGATTTATATATTATAAATCCCACTTGCTTTTAGCGAAACAAAACATTATAATAAGAATTTGTGATTATAAAAATATTTATATTACGTATTATTTTACTTTGTCAGGTCACGTACCTATATGTATCAAATTCGAATATTTTGTGTTTGTACAGCGATCTTTTTCAGCTACTGCAGACGATACAGCGACCACCCGCGATAGCGGCCGAGCGCCGACTATGGTTTCATCGAAATTTGTGTACAACAAATCAAAACAAACACTAAAAATAAAATAACCCTTATTGCAATCTATTAGGATTCATCCGTATCAGCAAAATATGTCAAAAAATAAGCATCAGTTTTTATTTTTTTTACGACCATTTGTGACATTTTGATAAAAAGTAATCTCCAGCATTTTTTATTGAATATGTCTGCCTACTTACATTATTTTTAGAAATCTTAATATATGTTGATAATAGAACAAAAAATGTACCGAAACATGAGGCGGTATCGTTAATTTTGTAGAAAATGGCTAGGGAAGATCCTTTTTACAATGTAAAAAACTATTATTTTCAACAAAAAAGTTACCACCATTTGAAGACAAAGAACCATTCTATATGTTGTAGTTATTAGTTATATTTGATTTGGTTTAGTTTTGTCACAAAATGTACCGAAAAACAGCGTAATTTGGCCCGATTTGCAAACGCACCCTTAATAATTGTATAACATATGTAAATGAATAACTTAATATTATAATAGGGAGGTAAATCATCTTTCAAATAATATATATTTTAGTAATTTAATTATTGACTACAATAAATAATTATTTAATACTAAACAATTTTTAATTTTCTTATAAATTTACATAAAATTAAGCAATTATTTGTTATTGAACAGTTATATATTGTTACTTGGACCTAAAATTAGAAGCACAAAAAATGCATAACATACGCATGTTTTTTGTGGTCGTTACCGACGGATGTAAGTATAAACAGCGACAGTGTGCAAGAGGTGAATAGAAGCAACGCCATTTGTAATCCCATTCTTTATCTGCGCGAGATAAACTATAACTTTAATATATGAGGACATTTTTCTGTTACCAAGCGAGAAAGTATTCAGTGCTGTGTTCTGAAATATTTCATCTTACTCGCTGAAAGATGATTGCTGATGTCAATAGGTCTAGCAGTCATTATCATCAACTGAATCTATTGTAGCTCATTTGCAACTATAATACTATAAAAAGGTTGACGTAATTACAAACTCTAATTTTTTTTAAAATATTATGCTTATTTAATATAAACCGATTATAAATTGTTATAGCATCTAATTTAATATAATAATATCAAATAATATTAATAAATAAAAGCTGAAGATGGCCGAGGTAAATTAGACATCAGGATGTTAAACAAATCAGTCCTCCCGTGGCCATAGACGCTGCAAAGTAATTAATTTTATCAAAATTTTAAATTAAACTTGATAAAACCAGTAAAATTGGCTTTATTCATTGTGTAAACTCGCGTGTAAAATATACTAAAAAGATATGATACGTGATACATCTTCATACGCACAAATTACGAAAAGACGTCCTCAGGTGCGTTTTATGCTATAATTATTACGTTAGTCTTAAGAGTATACATAGTAAGGTATGCTTATGTATATTCTAAGTTCTTAGTACACAACTATTATTATAATTAGTTTTAATACTGCAGACAATTAATTGTGCAATTAATTCCACAGGCTCTGTGTTGTCATCTTCACATTGCTGCGCTCATAGCGGAATATTTGAAGCAACGTGGTACACAAAACTGGGGAGCTGAAGCATTCGCCGAAATATCTATGAATATTCCACGCGATGAAACTGGCCTCAAAATCGACGAAGGTAAGTCAAACAATGCAATGCTTAAACATTTTTTTAATAAATACCACAGTGTATAAATCACGCTCTAAATACGTTACTTAAAAATTACACTTTTACTTCCTCTTTAGAACTGTCTTTATCAATAGCTGATGTAATAGATATGGGTTTGCAATCTTTTTTGTAGTCCAAAGATATCACGTGCTGAGTCAAACGTTTGAATGTCTCTAATGAACAGAAAGCTTCACAGCCCTCAACTTCTATAAGGCGTGGCTCCGCTGAGTCGTCATCCCAGTAATATATCTGAAAAACAAATTAATCACGACTTATTTGTTCAGAAACATTCAATTATAGATTTTAGAGGGTAGACGATTATGTAAAAATTCGAAGATACTCTTTATTGTAACTCTTGTTTTAGAAATAGTTATATAAGAAAAAGCAAAATATTTTTTTTTTAATTTAATTAGTCCGTGCCGTATAATTGCTTGATCGCAGAATGCACGACCAATTTGCATTGATACTTTACGCAAACCGTTTATGACAAAATAGCACAATTATGTCTTAATTAATTATGCCTTTTACGATAACATTAAAATTGGTTACTACTTCGTACTAATTATAATAATATAATTTATTCGAGCTAAAACCTAAAGAGTGCTTACTACTAACAGTAGTTACAAAGTTGCATACTAGTAATAGAACTTTATTTTAAATCAGTTATATGAGTTTGCACCCACTTGCTATACACGTTTACTAATGAAAAACAATAATATAGTCATAATAGGTTGTCATTACTGCTGTTTTCTTATACTGGCTAGCTTGAAATGAGATATTTTACATTTGACTAGGAATTCCAAATTCAAATTAATGTTGAAAAATTGTCAAAAGATTATTCTTTTGTATCCCCATGGTTTTTTTTAAATGAGTTACGTCGTGACACCAATGCTGCACAGATGTCACGCAACTACTTTATATAATATATATCAACAATTTTTATGGATCAGGTAGGTACCGAAAATTAACGCACGGTCTGTTATTGGTGTGATTGCTTCAGTTCTGGTCGACCGCAGCAATTATCGATTATTATGTGATAAATATCGAAGGGGTGGTAGCCAATCCATGTCACAATCGCAAATTGTGTCAATAGATCTATACTATAAATTGGCAATTTTATAAAGAAGGACTTAACATTAAACAATATTTTAGACATTACCACCAAATGCTCGAAATGCATTCTCGTAATCCAACTATTGCTGCATATTTATACATAATTGACTGCTTTGTATAAGTATGCAGCAGTCGTAACCGCGCCTGCTGAACACGTGGTCCCCTGGGTTCGAACCCAGGTCGGGCCAATATCAGTTATTGAGTTTTTCTGTCAAGAAATTCTCAGTAGCAGCCCGGAGTCAGAAAGTTGGCGGTGTTTCACCCAGGACCAATGGCTTTACGTACCTCGCAAGGCACGTAAAGCTATTGGTCCTGAGCCTAATCTTAACTTTTTCAATGTCACATGCCAATTGAAAAAGCCATCGGTGACTTTAGGAGGCTAGTTAAATATATTAAACGAAAATCACCTTAAACCCTAAACGTTTAGCAACGGCATGGGTAGCGTCATGGTTGTCTTTGTTGTTAGGGAGCTTCTCGTGTAGTTCTATTAAAAGTGCGGCTCCAGGGTCTGGTAGCCTCGGCGGCGGCGCCACGCAGGCCGCCAGCAGCGCGGCCACGGACACTGGGGATCCGATGCGAACCACCAGGGCCGGACGTGGAGCCGCCGCGTCGTGTACTGATGACTCTCTCAATATCTCGTGAAGAAGTGCACCTGAGCAATAATAGCTATACTTTCTTCTTACACTGAAACTTACACATTCAGTGCGTTAAGAGCGATGATAGTAAAAGTTTGACCGGGTAGTGGCGGTGTAAGAATATTCACTACCCCAAAACATCCCGTGGGTGTCGTGAGAGACAGCAGAGTTCCCTCTGCTATCTCACAAACCAGTCTTTCTAAAAACAACTTAAAAAAACTGCGGTTGCCAACTTGTCCTACCCAGCATTGCAACTATGACAAGAATTGCCCTATCAGGCAATCTATCTAGTAATAGGTTTGACAACTCCTCAAGAAACAAAATATGACTTTTATTTATGGAGCCCAGCCAATGTAGAAACGACAACATTTTTAATTTAATACTCATATTATATCTATTGCTTTTATTATACTTTAAATACATTGTTTAAACAACGGTGTCCCTATTATAAATATTGACTTTACGTAATAGATAAATAACAATATGATGGCTAATTACTCTATTTTAAGATGTCGTTAAGTCACATTGTGTCACGGTCACTTATACTTTAAACTGATGGAGACAACACGAGACTTAACGGCATCTTAAATAATTAAAAATTAAAAATTTTGTACAGCCGACTTCAATATATATTATTAAGAATAACTCACAAACTATTGATTAGATCTTGATCAAATTCATATGGGACGAGAAGTACCAGTATTGAAATAAAAAAAAGAATCAACGAAATCGTTTCACCCAGTAAAAAGTTATGAGGTAGTAACACACATAAAAAAAATACAGTCGAATTGAGTACCGTCTCCTTTTTGGAAGTCGGCAAAAATCGAGCAGTGTTTGAGTATTTAGTCATAAGACCCATAATAATGCTCTGGCTATTTAATAATCATAGTGTTGCCGTTTTTTTATAGGTTAAGAGTAACAAACGGGCGCACAGTCCACCTACTGTAACACTAGTAACTGGCTGCTGTGGCCTTAGTCCATACACATATACATCAATTCTCGATTACAAATCAAAATACAGATGTGTTGTCACTCGTGAGGAATAAGATGGAATGCCTGGTTTCCATTAAAAAGGGTCTCCGTTTCTCTACACTCACCATACGAAACACAGCAGCGTTAAGCTGCTATTTTACGCTGGTATTCTGTGAGAGCGTTGTCCTTCCCCGGTCGAGTCGACAACTATACTACTAATATAGCTGCAGCACGGCGCTACCACGTTTATATGATCTTTGGTTCAAATTTAAGGTTTAAGTTTAATATAACGAAGCCAAACGTTTAAATCGGTTCGTTAATATCAGAAATAAAAGTAGGCCTGTGCCCTGCAATGGGACGGAAGTAACATATGCTGTAACTTTCTTACTTTTAAACGAATCGTGGCAGCAGCGGTGTCTCCATAGCGTTCTAATAATAAAAAAAAATACCTCGTAATGCTATAAAATCCAAAAAAAAATTCAACTGCACATTTTTCTGTTTTATGTACATTCCCTCTTCCAACAATTATATTTAAAGGTATCATATTTTTTTAAATAATATAATAATAAACAGGGTTGTGTCATGTCTTCCTCGCTGTTCATACTGTATCTCGACAGCTGTTTACAAAAGCTGAAAGATAGCTGTTTGGGTGTGAAATTGGGTGACATAAAAGTAAATTGTCTGCTGTATGCTGATGATGCAGTGCTTATTGCACCATCAGAGGCAGAACTGCAGGCATTAGTCACGTGTATGAAAGAGGAATGTGAAATTAAAGGTCTCCGTTTGAATGCTAATAAAACTAAGGTTCTGGTATTTGAAAGGGACGAAGAGAGAACGAAGTGTGAAATATGGGTAAATCAGGAATGTCTAGAACAGGTAAATGAAATTGTATACTTGGGGAGTGCTTTTAGCCGGGATGGAAGATGTGATTTAGATGTGGACAGGCGTGTCGCTGCCGGGAACAAAGTCAATGGTGCCCTGACTGCGTTAGTCAAAAGGCAAGGCGTAGCGAAGAGTGCACGCCTTGCAATACATAACGCAGTGTTGGTACCGACTTTGTTATATGGCAGCGAAACCTGGGTATGCCAGAAGAAGCATAAAAGTAAGTTGAATGCAGTGGAGATGCGATCTCTTCGTAAAATGTGCGGCGTTAACATGGCCGACCGAAAGCGAAACGAAGAGATTCGCAATATGGCAGGTTTGAAAGATGACCTTATCACAAAAATTGATAAGGGCGTGCTTCGGTGGTTTGGGCACGTTGAGCGAATGAGTGAAGACCGAATGGTGAAGAAAATATATAGCGCGAAAGTTAATATTAAAAGGTGTCGAGGTAGACCGAGACTAACTTTCGAAGACCATGTGAGCAAATTGCTCGAAGAGGGTAGGGTCAAGAGTACTCGGATACCTAGACGTGCATGTATGAAGAAGATAATGAATCTGAAAGAAGCGAAAGAGATATGTAAGGATCGTGACACTTGGCGTTCTGTTCTCTCTGGCTACCCCGTCAGGGATTGTGCGTGAAGATAAGTAAAGTAAAGTAAAGTATATTTTTTTAAATATTATAAAAATATACTTACCACCACTGAGTTTTCTTAAAAGGTTATTATGAAACATCATCATAAATTCGAGCCTGGCGACATCCATTAGCTTTCTTTTAACGTGTTTCGCCCACTTCGGATTTGCTACTTTGATATCATCCTTTGTAACAATGAATGTAAAGTTTTATTAACAACTAAGAAAAATTTTTAGTATTAGTGAATTAAAATCGTGGTGAATTAAAAAAATAACTTTATATAGGTTTCAGCAAATTTTTACGTCCTTACATTTTAATCTAGTTTGGATTGCAGTGCATGGTTACTTTTATTAATAAAAAAGCAAACAAACGTGATGGTTCATGATAATGTTTATTCTATAGTTATTTTAACATTTCACTATCTCTTTTCCATATATTTCTGACTGCACAAAGTCCATAGAAAACCTGAATTCAAATTACATAGATATCTTGATTCTGCGGTCACCAACCTTTAGCGTACCTACCTAGTAACTTATAACAGCTAATGCCTTTTTTGAAAGGCTTACGTTCAGCAATGGACTTTAAATGTTTATCCCTTATCAATTGCATGCACGAGTGGTGGGACAATTATCTTTCTGCTCCTACTAAAGCAATGCAACAATGTACAATTAATAACTATGGACTGTAATGGATAAATGGAATGGATCATCGTTAAAAATATGAAGATTATCGCAAAACCATTATATACCAATTTCCACAGGTATAATAACCAGTAGTGGACTGATAACATGATGATGATGAGTAATTAAAAATTTACAAACAAGTAGTGTATCGAGGTAAAACAAAAACAGTTTCTATTCACAATGTCGAAGATAAATAGGAATATTACCTGTATTCTGAATAGGTTATTAAGGTAAAAAGCTTCTCGCGGCGTGCTGAAGTTAGTGTTAGTTAATAATGCTATCTTATGGAAAAAGTCGCGGTAAGGTGCGAGCAGACCTTCCTCCGTGAAAGCCTGCAATATTCTTTCTTTCTCTTGATTGTAACGCGGACAGTTATCTTCGTAAAGCAACTGAAATAGAAAAATAATAGAATGTGGTTGTCTGCTACGTGCGTCGTAAGATAATCCGTAACTTCTTTTTCGTCCTTTGAATTGCGCGGGAGGTGACTTTGGAAAATGCCAAAAAATTCTTATGGATTCGAATAGATGGCGGTATAATCATCTCGTGTAAGGTGTAAGCCAGACGTAAAATAAATCAACGATAGAGAGCAGCATCAGAGTCCAGTTTTATCACAATCGGTTCAATCATTCAAAAGATCAGTCCGAACGGACAGGCAGACAAATAACCATTTATGTTTATGTCTTGTAGCATTCATTCAAGTTGGAAAAAAATACTTCGCCAATATCCGCTCAATAAAATAAAATGATGTGTCTTACCTAGTTTGAAGAGCGCCTCCCGCACTTCGTGCATTATCCCCGTCACCACTAATCGCAGCACCACTACTCCCAATACCACTATACTAGGAAAGACACACCACCCACAATAACACGGCACGTGCTTCGCCTCTACACGAGGCATTCTCAGGTGTCAGGACGGTTAACCAAGACTGTGGTGGTGGAATTAGTGCACGCAATTGAGGGAGGGCGGGAGATGCTCTTCAAACTAGGTAAGACACATCAGTTTATTTTATTGAGCGGATATTGGCAAAGTAGTTTTTTGCAACTTCCACTGTCTGGTTTTCAGACACAATAGTAAGACAATAGCAATGAGCTACGTCTAGTGCACGGGACAGCGAAAGGGTTAATATAATGGATTTCCGCAAATTAACGCCTGATACTATTAATTATCTTATAGCATTCAAATAACCCCTGGGCTCAATTGAAAACAGTTATTTTTATTTTATTTATAAATAAAGACAAGTATTTTTTCTTTGCTTTAAAACGTTAGGAAACATTACAAATGTTCCCTGTATTGTGGAGGTGTGCATATAATTGAACGTGGAGAAACTACCAAACCCGAAACAGTTATTTGTATGCCATACAAAAACTTTTAGAGACTATGTTCAAGGCCGAAACGATCCCGTGGGTCGCAACATAGCAACCAAACGCTAATTAATTAAAAATACTTTTTCTAATGAAGGTCACTTACGTAATCCTGGTCCCGCGCAGGATAAGAATAAGGCACCGGTTGCCAATCCATGGTGTCATTCCACATTTGCTCTGTCGGCGGCGGCCACAGGCCTGCTGATATGAGCAGTGCACTCACTTTGCTGAGATCAGTGTCTGAAGTTATCACCAAATGTTTCCCTGTTGACCATAATTCAATGATAATTTTAAAAAAATGTGATGAATGTGCCAAGATGACTTTCAACAATCGTTAACTACAATAGATAACCATAAAGCCGATTGAAATTATCATTAAGTCTACAATTTATACTTGCGATTGTCACTTGTTCAAATGTCATCTTCATTTTGTGATTTAGATTGACACCTGTACCGGTTTTATAGTGAACACATCTATGCAAATAAATAAAATTGAAGTGTCTCTTTCTAATGTCAAAATTACAGCGTTTAACTAAATGCATATGAAAGTATAAATGGTACTTATAACAAAAATACACTTTTTAAATTTTTTGTCTGTCTGTCTGTTTGTTCCGGCTAATCTCCGAAACGGCTGGACCGATTTTGACGGAACTTTCACTGGCAGATAGCTGATGTCAGAAGGAGTAACTTAGGCTACTTTTATTTTAGAGAAATAATTAGGGTTCCTCGCAAAAAAATTAAAACCCTTAATTACACGTATTAAAATATAAGTGAAACAAGTGTTTGTATAATAAGTGCAATATGTGTCAATCCAAGTCACAAAACGTTATCGTTGAGAAATTATGTCATACCCAAATATTTTTATATAGTTTTTTGTGAGTGTTAACGATAGTGGAAAGAACGTTTCCAACCCCGTTGGCCATTTGGACTTTCTACAAACAAAGGATTTTTTTATATAATCATATTTGCTTGATAAAATTCATTAACATGACATACCATTTTCTTATTTCTATTTACATACAGGAAACGCTCTAGATAAATTCGTAATTAGTAATTCTCTATGTTAATTTAGATCCCATTATTTTTATCCTTGACCGCATTTCGTTATATTGTTAATGATATGCGGTGATACTTTAATTTTTAAAATATTAATTAAGCCAAAGAAATTTAAGAAGTTTTTATTTAGTTATTAAATTGTTTTTTAAATATGTATTTATTACATTATATAGTGTAACATTAATAATTTAAATCGAATTACCATCGTCGTAATAAGGTCCTAAAAATTCATTATATCTTTTTCTAAGTAATGCGCCCATTTCAAAAGTTGCCATCTTCCCTTCCTGAAAAAAAAATAATATTAGCAAGTCTTGCATGGTGAAATAACAATCTTAAAAATTACGAAATGTCAAATATTTTTACGGATAACAGGAAGTAGTGTTTTAAGAGTCCCATGTGTTACCCAGAAGATATACATCCGTGGACTGATCTAGGATTTAAAAAAAAATAAGCAGTTATGAAAATATTGGCTTTTAATTACGCCGCGCGACCCGCGTGATGGCAGCATAAATGAATATATCGCACCATTTCGTCCCGTGGGTGTCGTAAGGAGCGATTAAGGGAAATGCAAGATACATCTCATATTTTCCGATAGGAGCTGTACCCAAACTTGTATGTATTCAAGTATTGATTCGTCTTACGAACCGGGTCATTCGGGTCGATCATTTGAATATACATTTCAAGTTTCAGTACTCTGTGATCTGAGAGACCCGATCGATAATGTCGGTCGTCGGAACTTTTGTTACGTGGTAGAGCCATGCTGCAGCTATATTACTGGTATAGTTGTAGCACGAATGGGTCAGCTCGATCGGGGAACGACCACACTCTCACAGAATACCAGCGTGAAATAGCAGCTTAACGCTGCTGTGTTTCGTATTGTGAGTGTAGAGAACCGGAGACCCTTTTTACTGGAAATGAGGTATTCCATCTTTGTCCTCACGGGTGACATCGCATCTACAGTTTGATTTGTAATGGAGGATAGATGTAGATGTCTATAGGCCGAAGCAACCACTTACCTATCAGGTGGACTGTGTGCTCGTTTGTCACTCTTATCCTATAAAAAAATACTATACTCTAGTCGTAGATCCAGTCAATCATTTGATCTGGAACGTGCAAAAAATGTAATTGCAATCATCAATACTTCGATAGAACCCGAGTTAAATGAGCGAACCATTCACGATTGACACATGTCTACTGTACCTGTTTCCATTAACCATCTCCTTTACGCCAAGCATAAAATACCTAGACCCGGGAAGCAGCGTCAAAGGTGCGAGATATCTAGTACTGCGATCGTCAGTCCGCCTGCCAAGCGTGACGATCAAGGCCATACACCAGACCAACACTAGACTACACAGTAGTGTACACTAGACCAACATCCAATTGTGGACTTAAGAACTGATTAAGAAGAAGTAGAATTACGGCACTACGTTCTTTAGACCGTTGCTAAAGTTTAAGTTGACATTAAAAAAGTCCTGTGGTTTTAAAATTTAGAGATTTGATATCCATAATATGTATTTAAAATTTCTCTACCGGCCTTGCTAAACTAACATTCACTTTTGGACATACATACATATGTACATACCATTGGTTCTTATTAACCTTAATCTATTCTCAAAAAAGAATCAAGATTTAGGTTTTCAACAGTGGTAGAGCCACGTGGCGGCTTTTGCTGTCGCACGGATGGGCCGGCTCGAACCGGGGTGGTACCACGACCTCACAGAATACCAGCGTGAAGTAGAGGTTTACCTCTGCGTTTCGCTTGGTGAGTGCAGGTGGCCCGAGGCCCTTTTTACTGGAAATGAGGTATTCCATCTTAGTCCTCTCGGGTGACAACGCATCTGCATTTTGACTTGTAATAGAGGATAGATGTAGATGTCTATGGGCCGCAGCAACCACTTACCACCAGGTGGACTGTGTGCTCGTTTGTCACACTTATCCCTTAAAAAAAAGGTACATTAATGACACGTAGCCGCAAAAAGGGTACACACGGTGTTGAAAATTATAATGGAACACCGAAACAAACCTCAAACGCCAATACAAAAACCTTGAAAATCGCTTTCAGGGGTGTATCTGTTTTTCATAACTACTTCTAACTATCCCTTTTGTAAAAAGTAGAAAAATGATTCCTTGAAATAGCTTCGTGAACAGTTAACAGTAATAATAGTAAATGATTGACCGAGCCTCACTCGGCGTTACACATGAAAATAATTTTCGTATTCTCTAGATAAACTGTGCTAATAAAACGCTTTCTATATACAAAATTTAAAACAAATTGTTAGAACCGTTTCCGAGAAACCAAATCTAAAAAACTAGTCCTGTAAATTTTAAGTCATTGTTACATTTAGTTTACACTCCTTTTGTGCAAGCTTTATTTGATTATGTATCCATTAATAACATTAAACCATAGTATTTTTGTAAAACTATCTATATACTTAAATTCGTCCGAAAATAACTTTTAACTTTGTAACATAGAGTTAACCCATCTACGGAAACTTCATAGCAAAAGTTTGATAACACTCTATACTTGACATTGGCAGAATACATTGATAGTTGACAAAATAGAAAAAAAAATGCTCAGTTATAGATAGTATATGACGCTTTTCTGATGCTAAAAACCTTAAATAGTCGCTAACCTTAAACGATAATTTATAGTTTTTGTAATATGGATATTTTCGAAATTGTTGTTTTATTGGTCATTTTTTGAACACTACCCTAACAATAGGATAGGTCAATCATTCTGGAATCATTTTTTTTTTGTAGCAACAATAGGAATTTCGAACATTTTTACCCTCAAACATTTATACAACAACAACCTTTATTATTTAAATAATAACTAAATATTTATTTAAGTTCTAAAAATAATTGAAACACAATATTATCTACGTTTTCTTACACGCATTCCAAATGATATTTTTCTATCGACCGTGTCGTGCATTGCAGTGAGCAATAAATCATTATTAGTGTGCGACACCAATGCGTCTGATCCGACACTTTATTCCTGTTGAGAGGACCTCGCGACCTTCGCCACTGGGGCTCCCTCCTGCGTTATCAGCAGGAAGTAAATGTTCGATCTAGCTTGTTGTCTGTATCATGGGTCATTGCTGCGAATGAGCTGTCCATGCGCCTATTGCCCACTACCATTGAACCAAGTTTTATTTTGTTGAATTAATTTTAAAAATCTGAGGAGCGTTTATATTTGGAATAAAAAATATAGTTTATTCATTTATTTTACGGCAAACCCACATGGTCAGTCTGTCTGGTAAATTGCGGAACTACGCTAAAAGGCCTATTGTTAAAATTGCATTTCGCGCGATTCCCACGCAATACTGTTTAATAATACACAAACGGATTTCAATTCATTACTTGCAAGCTCAATGAGGCATCGGATTTACAATCTCTACCAATATACATTTATATAATCCTGAGTAATACAGTTACCGATGCCGCGATAAGTGTTTTCCAAGCTGCGATCTATTGTTGTGGGCATAGATTTGCGAATGAATGAACTCACTTGCGAGGTAAAAGAAAAAAATTCTACTCGAAGTGGAATTCTTTTTAATAAATGTAACACAATATCTCAGATATTTATAATTAAAAAAGAATGCATATTCTTTCACCAGAGAGGATACAACCTTCTTCAAAAGACTTGCATCAGAAAAGAGATGTATTTTGGGATTTGTGTTTTTAAATACATAATAAGATAAAAGATTACCGTGTACTGGCGGTGTGAAAATATGCACTACCTCATATCATCCCGTGGGTGTCGTAAGAAGCGACAAAGTAAAACAAATCCAGAGATGGTCAGCATGGCCAGCGGCCAACTCACTTGCCATGCGTTGCAACAATGGCAAATATACTCCTTTTGAGGTAATCTATGGGGGAGGCTTATGTTTAGCAGTAAACTTTAATAGGTTGTGACGGTAACGGTAATAACATAAATAACATAAACTCCGGCAGATATTACAGACCTCCATTTGGCACAATCCTGACACACCTCTCTCTTCTTTCACGTCCATATCAACGCACTCATGCTCGTCTGTTAAAGGTTCTTTTAATTTAGCCCGTCTTCAATATATCGTTAATTTAATCGATAAACTTCCGTCTCGGACGTCCTTTGCCGACTCTGCCACTCACTTCTGCGGCATAAATTCACCAAAACTTCACTGTGATCATGCTCAAAGTAAAGACCATACTGGTCCGTGCATACAATCCTAATGTAAACCCAGCTTGCACACCCCAAATTTTTCCTTATTTTTTTTTTCATAATTATTTTAATCAACCCTTGCATACAATTTCCGACAATGCTAAGCTGATTCCTCGGTACTTTTTAACAGTCAAGCTGTGACCCTTTGCCTTTATACAGTGGGACTATAACAGATTCTCACTAGTCTCCCGGTACTTGCTTTTTTAATATAGTATTCAAAAAGTTTAATTTTCTGATTATTACCTTAAGCACGCAGAGCCCTTTGAGCTCGTTCCACATCTAAAAAATTTCCAATCCTTAATGTTAAATAGTAAGTTAGTATAGATTTTACCAGTGATTTGATTTTTTGATTTTTTCTACATAGACTTGTTCAAGTTGTTTTTTGGTGGCGACGTTCAACATTTTGAAGATATTAATAGAATGGAATAGCTTCCATTTGCTAAAACGTGGCTTAACATCAAGAATAATCGAATAACATATTAAATTGTACTTGCAAACGTTACAGGCACTTGCATTCGGTAAATTAAAAAAAGGTTGAATAAATATTTATTTTACATTTAAACATCTCAAATGGTCTTGGTAACAAACATAATTATATTTTTACATAAAACAATCATTATTATTTTTAAATATGCATTAATGAATGAAATCCAAAATTATAAAAATTTACAATGATTATACAATATCTTGCCATACTTAATTTATTCTTTCGTTATCCTTTGAAATCCATTTGTTCACATAATAATATAATTTATTTAATAACTTTTTGAAGTCCTTCGTTTAAAGAAACATTACTCCACACTAGGAATCTTCTGTAGTGTAGAGGAGCATTACATAAATAAATAAATAATATAATAATTTAATTTAATTAGACACTGCGGTATCGAGACGAGCAGATTTATTTATTTATTTAAAACATCATATACACGGATAGTATATATAGGCGGACAGACATTCTCTACCAGTCTACCTATCTTTAATTTTTTATTTAACAATATGATCCCTTATAAATGTTAACGAGAGACGGCGATATTTGAAGCTAAGATAATTAAAAATCACTTACATTTGTCAATGCCCCAGCACCGTAAGGTGCGAAGACATGTTCAGGCGGAGAAGCACCCAGCATCGCCAGCTCACGTTCACTGGGCGTGCGCTCGCCGTGGGACATTAGCTGTACAATCAAATACATTCTGTTAAACTGTCTTCTCTCATCTTAAGTTATTAGACGCTTTTTTACATAATATAAGTCATCCATTACTTCACTACAGCCTATAAACACTGTCCACTCTCTCTGGCTACTGCTGAATGTAGGTCTCCCCCATAGATTCTCTTATATCTATTTTTAATTATCCATGTGGATTTTGCCATAGTTGCCACGTTATTATAAGGCAGGGCTAAACTAAAATCTCACCTGGTGGTAAGTGGTGATGAAGCCCTAGGTAGTAAAACGCACTGTACCGCTGCAACAACATTTAATGATAGATGATAATTATTTAAGTCTGTTTTGAAGAAATCTTTCAGCATGCAAAACCTAGCATCTGCTTGCGGTCCTGACACTGTAATCTCATTCTGCGTAGACCGGACCAAAAATTAATAGTTAAACGTTAAAGGTGTTCGTTAACTATGACATCAGGAAGACAAATACCTCCCCGGCAATAGTCCCCCAGTGACCATGGGTGCTGTAAAGTTCGGCTAAGCCCGTAACTTCGGGAATTAAAAAAGTTTAAATTAAACGCGATAAAATTCCTACAATTAGTTTTATTTTTTTAGTTTTTTTTATTATTACATTGTTTAATTCCCGACGTTTCAGGCACTTTACAGCACCCGTGGCCACGGGGCCATTGAGGTGTTTGACGTTGTGATATCATAGTTGACGAAGGCTAAAATTAAACGCGATAAAATCTGAATTATTTTTAATCCATGTGTAGTATTCGCGTAAATATAAGAAGTCATTATGTAAAATTAGTTTTATACCATATGTTGTATTCGCGTACATACACTCATGGAAATTTTATTTTTTCTGTTGTGGTAGAGCCATGCTGCATCTATATTATGGTTGTAGCACGAATGGGTCGGCTCGACCGGGGAAGGACCACGCTCTCACAGAATACCAGCGTAAAATAGCAGCTTAACGCTGCTGTGTTTCGTATGGTGAGTGTAGAGAACCGGAGACCCTTTTTACTGGAAACGAGGCATTCCATCTTAGTCCTCACGGGTGACAACGCATCTGCATTTTGACTCGTAATCGAAGATAGATGTAGATGTCTATGGGCCACAGCGACCACTTACCATCAGGTGGACTGTGTGCTCGTTTGTCACCCTTATCCTATAAAAAAAAAATATCGTGCGTTTTGGTCACAAATATTAGTAAATGCTATTAAAGTAAGAAGTTTTGGAATGTAGTTTTTTTCGAATTGCATTAATTTGTTTTTATATTACATAAATTGCGTTATATTGCGTACTTTCACACTGCAAAATCTTTAGCCAACTTTTGAATTGTAGTTTAAATTTAGGTTATGTTTTAATTTTTGCCTTGTTTATCGTGTTAAGTGTGAATTACTGCAAATAAACTGAGAATGCTAGATCTAAACGCCCCTCTACTTGCTAGGGCTGTAACTTTAATTGAAACTGGGCACAATAACAAACATGTGAAAACACAATACGAGTATCAAAATCTGTGAAACACCGACTTGTATAGAGGTATCAGCAGACCGGACAGTATACGAGACTCGCAGGACAGGGACATAAACGGAAAACTTTGGCTAGAGATGACTGGTTCATCGTTACCAGCGCATTAAAAAACCGGACATTAACTTCTTCTGTGCTAAGTACAATACTCCAAGAAGTTCGAGGGGTTACAGTAAACACAAAAACTGTGGAAAAGAAAAAGATTGGAATCGTCATAAAATCACACTTGCCTGCCTCGAGCTCGAGTTGATTTTGCTGGCAATCACGAAAATCGGAATGACGAAGGAGTCCAGTTCTATTCCCAGACTAGTCTAGATTTTGCCTGAAGCCAGATGATGGAAGGATTAAAGTGTGAAGATGCCTGAGTGAAAACTGAGATTTTGGAAGAAATTGTAATACCATTCGCCCCTTTTAGACGTAGATTTTAGATAGGTTTGTCTTTATGAACGATAATGCACGCCCCCGTACTGAGGTTGTAGTTGTCGAATACCTTCAAGACGTTGAAATCAATGCTATTGTGTAGCCAGCGCCCCTGCCCTACTTAAACCCCATAGAGCATGTATGAGATGAGCTTGAAAGACAAATTAAGAAAAGAAATCCTGCCCCCGCTTATTTGACATATCTTAAAAACGCATTACAGGAAGAATGTAAGGATTTCATTGATAACTTGATTAAGAGTATGCCAAGGACTGGAAGCAGCTCGAAGAGCTAGAGGGATCAACACTAAAAATTGATTATGGCCCTCGTTATAGCCTTTCCTAAGCATTTATGAAAAAAAAATGTTAAGTACAAAAATGTTTCTTTCCTGTAATTTTTTTCTTGACCTTTGCAATTTTAAATTAATGAATAATAAGAAAAATCCAAATTAACAAACTTAATTGTCACACGTTCAAGAAATTTTCTTTTATACACACTTTTTGCGTTCTTCTAAATTTGTCTATGAGAAAACATTATATAAAAACTATTTTAGTTATGCATTATTATTTGAATGCATACTATACTTATATTTTTATTCTATTTTGTAATTTAAGGAAATTCTTGTGTATCGTGGGAGCGTTTTAAATTAAATATTTTATAAATTACTGATGTATAAACAGACCTAAAATACTAGTTATCAGAGGAAATCGAGTAAAATAAACGTCATTATGATGATATTTTTTTTTTACTTATTGTATAAGCTGCAAAACGAGGTTAAGGTAATAAAAAATTAATTATTTCAACCTAACATATTATAATTTATGATAGTCTTTGAAATATAAAATTTATTAATTAGATGCAAATAGAATTGTTATTAAAAACTGCTATTAAAAACTTTGTTTTTTTTTTAATGTATTTGCTGATTATTATTCTTGCCAACCTGGGAATGCGGGACGTATGCTTACGAGTATTATTTTGGTTATAATTGTTGTATAATAGTGTCAGTGTATATTTTGGACAAGACGAAAATTCCAATCCAAAGGTAAAAGTTGTGCGCAGTCAGACAAATCTCAGTTTCGGATTCTGATTGTTCTAAATCAGACAGAGTTATTCCAAAGATCCAAAGGATACAAGTTGGGACGACAAGTCTAATTATTTTATGAAAAGCTAGAAGTAGGGGCTCTACGAATTAGATTAGACGTGTTTTTATGCATAAATTCCACAAGGCCAAACAGTCGGACTCGAAGTAATTATTTTTAGGCTATACAAATCCTTGCTCCAGTATAAATCCATAGGAGTAGACAAAGTTATATGATCTTTACAATGAAATATCATTTAATCTTAATGTTTCATTTAGAGAATATGTAAAAAAAATATTAGAAAATATTCAAAAGATTGTGTTCCACGGCCATGTCTTTACATATAAAAAAACAAAGTTAAAATGCCTCTAATAAAATTAAAATGACTTGGAGTACAATCAATAGCGGAACTGGCAAGATGAACTTCAATTAAACTTTAACAATAATTTAACGAAATCAGATGAAGATGTTGCGACGGTTTTTGAACAATATTTTACCGTAATTCCGATCTTAACTACAAAGTAACTCAATCCCTCACCTGCTGTCGCCGAGTCATTACTCACACAAAATGTAAATGTCTGTAAAAAAGAATTTGCATTTCATAAAATATTATCAGGAGAAAACTCACTAATTTTAAGAAAACAGCGGATCTATGGGGGACTTCCGTTAAAGTTATTGCGTCTATAATAGATGCAATCCCATCCCAACTTGCTATTATTTTTGATACTAGTATCGAATCTTGTGTGTTTCCTGATTTAATGAAACATAATAAGGTTATATATTTATTTAAATCTACTAGTGCAATGAACCCCAATTATTTTAGACCTATTTCTGTACTGCTAACGCTGCTCATATTTTAAATTTAAAATGTTTAATAAAATTATTCGAAAATATAACAAAAAATATAACAAAAATAAAAAATATATTATAAAATTATCAAATGTCTAATGTAAATAAATTACTCCATAAAAGTCAGTCTGGTTTTACAAGGAGTCCCTCAACAACTGACGCCGTTATTGAGCTGATTAAGATTGCATAAAATTCAAAGGATGCTTTGGGTATATTTTGTGATTTTTCGAAGGCTTTCGACTGAGATATTAATCAGGAAGCTACATCATTACGGTGTGAAAACATAGCATTCAAACTATAGTTTTATTACATTATACGAGGGTGGATTGAAAAGTACTCGGCCTAACACAGATCCATTCAATTCTAAAAATCCGCATTTATCCCACATTATTTAGTTCAGTTCAGACTAGTTCATTGTGTGAAGTTCGAAACGTGTGCGATAATTAGTTGTGATTTTATAAATTTATTAACAAAGTAATCGGACATAATTTCCGCGAATGGAGCAAATCGAGCAGCGTGCCGTCATTAAGTACCTCCATAAGAAGGGGCTATCATCAAAAGCCATCCATGATGACATGGTCAGTACATTAGGCGATTCTGCTCTGTCATATTCATCCGTCAAAAAATGGATAGCAGAATTTAAGCGTGGTAGAGAGAGTGTGAAAGATGAACCCCGCTCTGGAAGGCCTTCGACGTCAACTACTGACGAAAATATTAAAAAAGTACTTGATTTAATAATGGGAGACCGCAGATTAAAAATTAGAGAGATAGCCGAGATTATAGGCATCTCTTATGAACGAACTCAAAACATCATTGTCAACGAGTTGGGTTTCCACAAGGTGTCTGCGAGGTGGGTTCCGCGACTGTTTTCAGTTGAACAAAAAAGGACGCGATTGACTATTTCACGCGACTGTTTGGAGTTATTTGAAGCCGATGCAGATGATTTTTTGAATCGTTTTGTTACTATGGACGAAACATGGGTTCATTACTGTACACCGGAAACAAAACAACAATCAAAACAGTGGAGAAGACCTGGTTCACCACCCCCTAAAAAGGCTAAGTCGATTTTGTCGACAAATAAGGTGATGGCTTCAGTATTCTGGGACTCGAAAGGTGTGATTATGATTGATTATCTTGAAACGGGTCAGAATATAAACTCTGATTACTACTGCACCTTACTACGTCGTTTACGACAGGAAATAAAAGAAAAACGTCGAGGAATGCTCAGAAGAAAAGTCCTGTTTCATCAAGATAACGCCCGTGTTCACACGTCAGTACAGTCAATGGCTGAAATTCACAACTGTGGCTTTGAACTGTTACCGCATCCGCCGTATTCACCTGATCTGGCACCATCAGACTTCTTTCTGTTCCTTAACCTAAAAAAGCACTTGGGAGGTCAAAGATTTTCGACAAACGACGAGGTCAAAGCAGCTGTAGACGCATATTTTGACTCTAAGGAAGAATCATTTTTTTTAAACGGTCTAAATGCTTGGAAGGGGAGGTGGCAAAAGTGTATTGAACTTGATGGTGATTATGTAGAAAAATAAAAATATAACTGATTTAGTATTTGTTTATTTTCTTGGTTAGACCGAGTACTTTTCAATCCACCCTCGTATCTAAATAATAGAACGCAACAAAAAAAACGTTATTAGTAGGAGCAGTTCTTCCGGATCTGTAGTATCTATGGGTGTTTCGCAGGGCTCAATTCTTGGCCTCTTCTCTTAATATTAATGACTTACCTCACTTGTTAGGGAATAACCATGACATAGTTTTATTTATTGATGATACTTCGTTGATTTTCCGACTTAAAAGGCAATTATTAAAATATGACGAAGTTGGTAATGCTATATCAAAAGTAATACACTGATTTAACGTCAATAATTTGCTTTTAAACGGTAATTAAATGAAATGTATTAAATTCACAACACCTAATGTTAAACAGGTGATTACCAGTGTGCTATTAAATTGGAAGGTTCTGGGCCTTGTTGAATCCATTGTTTGTCTCGGAATTACAGTTGACGCGAAGCTTCAATGGGGCCCATATTATATCTAAACTAGCTAGGAAACTTAGTTCTGCATCATATGATGTAAAAATATTAGAGGCCTTACATGTGTTGAAACGGCTAGATTAGTTTATTTTAGTTATGTCCATAGCATGATGTGATATGGAATCTTGCTATGGGGTAATGCGACTGACAATGAAAGTATCTTTGTTTTTCAGAAGAAGCCATAAAAGCAATTTATAACCTAGATCCGAAGGAATCCCGTAGAGAAAAATTCAAGGAAATAAATATATTAACTTAGCTCTTTCAATATATTTAAGAAAATTTTATGTACGTACACAAAAACAAATATAGTTTTATTAAAGATAGTGATGTACGTTCTGTAAATACTAGAAACAAGTATAAATTAGTTACACGACTCCAAAGAGTCAGTAATTCCTTCAGAAAGTCCCAGAAAATACGCAGACCTTATTTATCAAAAGATATAAAATATTTATCAAGCAAAAATTGTTTAGTAAGGGTTATTATACTACTAAAAAGTACATGCAATCATGTACTCGTTAGTAATTAACCCCTGGGAATGAAGTGATCGCTACCATGCTGTTTCTAAATGTTTTCATGACATTGAAAATATTAGAAAATATTTTAGAGTGGCTTAATAATAATAATTTAAAAATAAATTTAAATAAAACTAAAGTTATGCACTTCCATCAACGCCGTGAAAACCGAAACATTAACATTTCCTACCAAGGCTTTAATATTGAAGAAGCAAATATGGCGAAGTTTTTAGGTATAGTGATTGATAATCATCTCACTTGGAAGCCTCATGTTGAGGATCTATGCAAACGACTCAGCAAATCCGCATATGCGCTTTCTCAACTTTCAAAAAAGGTTAACAGCCAGGCTCTTTTGATAGCATACCATGGACTAGTTGCTTCCGCTTTACGATATGGCATCATTTTCTGGGGACAGTCTTCTGATAGGGAGCTTGTATTTAGGATGCAAAAACGATGTGTAAGATCATTGTGTGGTCTCAAAGTAACACATAGCTGTTTTCCTTATTTTAAATACTTAAAAATCCTAACACTGCCGTCATTGTATATACTGGAAACAGCTATTTTTGTAAAAAAGCATCCATTTCTTTTCCAAAAAATATCTGATATTAGAAAGAATCCAATACGTACCCACTACATAAATAGGTTATGTTACATAAAATGTAAAACATCATTAATGAAAAAAAACTTCTTTGGTATTGCCCCACAAATTTATAATAAACTACCTGATTCAATAAAAAATATGACCTTATTTAAATTTAAAAAGGTGCTAAATGACTTATTAATAAACAAATGTTACTATAAAATTGATGAGTTCTTGAATGACAATTTTGACTAGTAATTTTTATTGAATATTATCATTTTTTGTTATTGTAATCAATTTAATTTTATAAATGTAGAATTTTCATTAGTATGCCAATTTCAATTATTTCTATTCTATTTTATTTTATGGCATGATTTTTCAAAAGAACACTCAATTATATTTGTATGTCTTTAAGACAAAACATTTATTGTATTTGCACACCTCATAAGGTAATAATACAATGTACATATTATAATTTTCTGTAACACCTTTTATACCTGTATTATGCAAATAAATGAATTTGAATTTGAATTTTGAATTTGACAATTGTATAAATATTCCTCATGAGGAATTTAGTTAGTTATATATATATATAGTTACCATAGTTGCTACGCGTGCCTTATACAAACTTAAAAATTTAAAGAATTACGGTCGAATTTTGACCACTGAACTAGAAACGTTATTAATCCCTAATTTAGATTCGTATTTTTCAAACAAAGAAAAAAACAGATATCTAAGTGACTCCATCCTGTTAGTTGTTATATTAACTTAGGCTAAGACCACTAAAATTACCCGTAATTTTTTTTTTAGAAAACTGAAGTGACAAACGAAAACTGTCGACGTTGTCGTCTCCAAGAGCTAATATGCAATGCCCCACAGCCTGTAATTGTATTATACCTTTCAGACAGAAAAATATTAGTGAATTCACTCATTCTCACTTGCATTAATGCACTGTAGCTTGACAGTAGAAATATTTTTACGTGGTAGAGCCATGCTGCATCTATATTAGTAGATAGTATAGTTTTAGCACGAATTGGTCGGCTCGACCGGGGAAGGACCACGCTCTCACAGAATACCAGCGTAAAATAACAGAATAACGCTGCTGTGTTTCGTATTGTGAGTGTAGAGAACCGGAGACCCGTTTTACTGATAACGAGGAATTTCATCTTAGTCCTCACGGGTGAGAACGTTACTGCATTTTGATTCGTAATCGAAGATAGATGTAGATGTCTATGGGCCACAGTACCCACTTACCATCAGGTGGACTGTGTGCTCGTTTGTCACCCTTATTCTATAAAAAAAAAAGTAAGAGGGTGGTACCTTGAACTCCTAGGCATAATAAAGTGCTCTAGGTACTACCTACTAAGAAATTATTTTTGTACTCACCACGTGAACTTGCCGGAGCACTGTTACCTCGACGGTTTTGTCCTTCATTAGGATCACTGCAACGAGGGCTGAGCAAACGATATAATTGGTAAATGTTGTCTGTGTGCTAATTAAGTGTTACGGGGTACCGAGCAAAAACTATAAAAAATGTTAAATCACTAAGGCATCATAAAAACATAAAAAGTCATCTGCATTTTGCCAGTATTTTATTAAATTTAGATATTTAAAATGCTTTTTTAAAGTTAAAATAGGCTATATATAATGTTCGATGTTTAATAATATTTTTTTTGTCTTTCGTTATCTAAAAATGTGTTTAAAAAATATTTTTGTGTTCACGTACCGGCGATGAGAGAGACGCCCACCAACACGCCGAGGCAACAGCAAGTGCGTTCAGTACGCACGCCTTGCACTTCTTCCACCGCGTTGGTCGGCTCCTCCTCGCGACCGCCCTCTTTCCTGTACATATTCGTACAATACTCTCCGAAATATACCATAGAAAGAAACAGTTATTGTCTTGTTCAATCAGTTTTATTGAAAGGCTCTTTAAATAAAACTTTTTGCACTTTTAACGAATCCCAATTAAATTTCGTGCCATCAAGCATTGTCCGATACTTTAATAGATGATATGTGTTATATAAAGCATTGATGATAGTTGAATAACCTATCAGCGTATTTATGATGACATTGAATAAATTATTATTACGTTGTATTGACTATACAGTCGCTCAGCGAGATATACCATGATATCCGAGATAGGAACTACATAACTCAATGGGTTAGTAACAATGGACTAGCCAAATAACTCGATGAAACGACAAAAGATAGGGGCTGATGATTCTAAAGTGGCCTCCTCGTACCGTTAAGCGGAGGGGGCTTCCCACTAGATGGGAGTGCCTACTGACGACTTGGTTAGACATACAAGAAGTCGATGGATGCAGGTAACTCAGGACCGTGTTTTGTGTTTTTTTCTTGGGGGAGCCCTACATCCAGCCGTAGACTTGTGAAAGGTTGTAATGATGATGATAATGATGGTGGTGATGGTGATTGACCATAGTTTATTTTTATTAACCAATCAAATATTATCGCGGAAAATTCAAAATATTTCTAAATTAATTGCTAACTTTACAAATAATATGCGTATTAAATTTACAGTTACATAACTATTACCGCTTCAGACCTAGTAATATGGATTGGAAATCATTTAAAAGTAAATGTACCTAGTTTTTATGTAGCGCTAGTACCAACACACTCCTAAACGAATTTAATACAAACACCACTTACATTTTCCTGCGACGAGTCGGCAGCTCTACATTGTAGTTGAAATGTAATACGCGTTTTGACAAATATCCTGGAACATTTCGTCAGTATATCTACGTTCGGAACATTAGTACACCGGCACTGGCTTCTGTCGATTGGGGAACGTGGGGTGTTCGTTGTCAGGAGATGCGAGGCAGGAAACGCACGACGCGCGCCGCTCTGTCTCACTGCGGCTCGCACGGGATGTCGCCCGTATTCACGGTCGCTCGGACCTGCCTCAGATTGACTTTGACCAATCGATTGTACCACGGTATCTATTTACACGGTGTACAGGCACTCATTTTGAATGGGTATTTAAACTCCCTTGTAACGCCCTTGCCGACGTCAGCCTGAATAGATAAATCGGATTTTTCATTACAACATATGCACACAGTTGGAGACAATTATATTTACGTCATCCTTTTGTTGTGGCCTTACTGTTGCTATACCTTTGTATACAGAGTACATATTTGTAATGCAATATGCTCATGTTGATCACGATAGGTCGCATACGTGCAAATTTATTTCAAATATCTGTAGAGATTCTTATATATTTAAGAACGAATCGTAGAAGCAGTACAATCAACAAGATCCTAATCCCCTCGCATAGCCCTCTTGTCACTTCAACACATGTTTGATTTGTCTGATAGAGTAAATTAGAAGATTGCGCATGCTGCGTGCGAACGAATCATATCTTCGCTTTCATGCAAAATAGTTTAAAAATAGTCTGTGCAAATACGAAAATTAAAAAAAAACATGTATTTACAGGATAAAAGTGCAAAGTACGAAAAATAATATAATTAAAATGTGTAATTTTTCACTTCAAAATGATATATTTAAAAAAATCTTTAGTGATATTTTACGGTTGCATTCATATAACATAGTAGGTACCATTTCCTACCATTTATTGTGTTACAAAGGTGATCGTTGCCTAGATGCTTTTGCTACGTACACAATACCATACACTTCACTGCACATAAAATAATAAACAACCATAGAGAGGAAACCAAAGGCTGTCTTTTTACTACACCGCAATTTTTTCCAGACTACCCACAAGAAAAAATAGATACTTAAACTATGAAAAAATAGAATCGGTTTCAAAAACAAAACAAAATAATTTCTACATTATAGCTTCTGAGGTCCCATTTGAGTGGACGAGGAAATATCACAAGTTCAAGGTAACAACAACAATAAAGTCGTCTAAATACATATCATGATAGATAACAGAAAGAATGTGAGGAGTATTCCGACGAAGGCAGATTGGAGCCACTTGAGCATAGCGCGGTATTCTGAGAAATGGTCATATTCACAAAGTTTAAAATAATAATATGTACATTATTGTGAACTAGTACTTTGCCACTGGGTTTCTTGCTGGTTCTTTCCAGGACAGTTTTATTTAGAAACATCGGTAAAAATATAAATAACTTTCAATAAATAAATGTGATAAGCCGCTATAAAGTATTGGCAAATACGATTATTAACTTTAGCAGTAATAATCCTTAAGTCGTCAGTCGTCGCGGTGCACAGAACAATCCTATAATTAGTAATTACTCTCATCATTGCGCATTGCTGATCAATTTATTTCACTGGCCAGGAGCTAGCGGGCTGCACTTGATTATTTTACCTTAGAAATTGTTCATAACGAACGTTCATAGTAAAATATGTATATAACAATTTGAAACTAAATTGTTTTAGTTCATTTTCTTTTGAATACATTTGTGTTATATCTATAAATTCAATAAATTTAAATTCTATAATCAGTATTGTCTTTAATTTTAATGTAGCTGGAACGTACCGTGATTTTACGTGATAGAGCCATGCTGCAGCTACGTTACTAGTATAGTTGTAGCACGAATGGGTTCGGATTGACAGGAGAAGGACCAAGTTCTCACAGAATACCAGCGTAAAATAGCAGCTTAACACTGCTGTGTTTCGATGGTGAGTGTAGAGAACCGGAGACCCTTTCTACTGAAAACGAGGCATTTCATCTTAGTCCTCAAGGGTGACAACGCATCTGCATTTTGATTCGTAATCGAGGATAGATGTAGATATCTATCGACCACAACAACCACTTACCATCGGGTGAACTGTGTTCTCGTTTGTTACCCTTATCCTATAAAAAACCATATAATTTATTAGAATGTATTGACTATGAATGACTTACGTAAACCATATTAGGCTTGATATTTTTACCATGATCACACTTGCACTTATTAATTATAATTCTAAATGGAAAGGGTAAAATATTTACTATAGTTAAACTACTGGTAAACATTTAATCGTTCCAAACGACAAGATTTCGTTCGTTATGCAGGTACATTTTGTCTTTAAACATCTCGCTTGACTCAGTTAACTGTATCTAATCTAATGTAGTAAAATATAATAATATGATCCTTGACCAAACAAACTTTATCACCTAACTATATTTTGAGATTCATTCTATCTGATTAATTGCAACTGTAGATAAAACATACTTACTTACTTACTTACTTATCTTCACGCACAATCCCTGACGGGGTAGCCAGAGAGAACAGATCGCCAAGTGTCACGATCCTTACAAACCTCTTTCGCTTCTTTCAGATTCATTATCTTCTTCATGCATGCACGTCTAAGTATCCGAGTACTTTTGACCCTACTCTCTTCGAGCAATTTGCTCACATGGTCTTCGAAAGTTAGTCTCGGTCTACCTCGACACCTTTTAATATTAACTTTCGCGCTATATATTTTCTTCACCATTCGGTCTTCACTCATTCGCTCAACGTGCCCAAACCACCGAAGCACGCCCTTATCAATTTTTGTGATAAGGTCATCTTTCAAACCTGCCATATTGCGAATCTCTTCGTTTCGCTTTCGGTCGGCCATGGTAACGCCGCACATTTTACGAAGAGATCGCATCTCCACTGCATTCAACTTACTTTTATGCTTCTTCTGGCATATCCAGGTTTCGCTGCCATATAACAAAGTCGGTACCAACACTGCGTTATGTATTGCAAGGCGTGCACTCTTCGCTACGCCTTGCCTTTTGACTAACGCAGTCAGGGCACCATTGACTTTGTTCCCGGCAGCGACACGCCTGTCCACATCTAAATCACATCTTCCATCCCGGCTAAAAGCACTCCCCAATACTTTAATATGTAATTGCCTACTTTTTGCTAACCCAATTCTAACTAATGTATCAATCTATACTTTTATTACTATACTGCTTCCAAGGACCATCATTAATTTTATAATCATAATAGCCTACTGATGAATAATACACAACATGTAACAAAATCCCCGTGGTCCAGTTAAGTGCAGTAGTGTGCAGCATTAAGTGCAGAATCAGTATTCAAAATTAAAGAAATAACTTCTGAAAGCTTGACCATGTATTTTTTTACTTCAAATAAATTGTTATTAGCAAATTGTATGTGGTTTTATTACCTCTGCATCGGTCGGGGAGTAAGAGTATTGTCTAAGACCTTGCCTTATGCACGTGTTAATTAGACATAATAAAACCATATACAATTTGCAAATACGTTTTTACGTAGTAGAGCCATGTTGCAGCTATATTAGTGGTATAGTTGTAGCACGAATGGGTCGGCTCGACCGGGGAAGGACCACGCTCTCACAGAATACCAGCGTAAAATAGCAGCGTAACGCTGCTTTGTTTCGTATGGTGAGTGTAGAGAACCGGAGACCCTTTTTACTTGAAACGAGGCATTCCATCTTAGTCCTCAAGGGTGACAACGCATCTGCATTTTGATTCGTAATCGAGGATAGATGTAGATGTCTATGGAGTATGGCCCACAGCAACCACTTACCATCAGGTGGACTGTGTGCTCGTTTGTCAGCCATATCCCATAAAAAATATTTAAATTTAATTCAAAAACTTCATGGTCTAGTTTCCTCAAAGAAAGTTATTTCAATACGTTTGAATATTAATACTCTAGCTATCATCATCATCATTACAGCCCTTCACAAGTCCACTGCTGAACATAGGCCTCCCCCAAAGAATGCCACAAAGCACGGTCCTGAGCCACCTGCATCCATCGACTTCCTGCATACCTTACCAGGTCGTCACTCCATCTAGTGGGGGGACGCCCTACACTTCGCCTGCTGGTACGAGGCTGCCACTCGAGAACCTAATAACCTAATAGCCCTAGCTATAATTTTAATTTATTAATAATTT